AATAATAAATTAGTGTAATTTTAAATCACTAAGTTTCAAATTATTTGTTAAGGTAGGAAAAGGAAACTAATATATTTCATATATACATATAATATATATGTATATATATGTAAAGGAAACTACATATCATATATATGTATATATATATATACATATATTATATATATATACATCAGTATATGTATATATATATATATAATTTAGGATACAGTGCCTTTAACTAACAAAGTAAAAAGAAGTTCTCTGAAAAAAATCATTCTGATATGAGTGAGAAAGATAAAATGCTTTAGAAAGAAGGCATCCTGGATGAGACTACAGAATCTACAGAATATGGTATAAAAAAGAGTATTTTTTTAAAAAATAAAAGTAAGGAAAAAGAAAAGCCATCACATACTCCAGGAAAAGTAAATTTTAAATAATCTATCCAAGAAAATCATGACCCAACCACAAAAGGAGTCAAAATGTGGCCAAGTGTTTAAGCAATGTTTGAAGAGCAATGAAATATAATTATATTTAAACTTTTGAAGAATATTCTTTAAGAAATGAAGGAGTTGTGACAGTGGACTCAAGAAAAGAAAAAATTTGTAAAACCACTCAAATAGACAGTGGTCAATGCAAATGTAAATGCTGCTTATTACTTTTCTAATTATACAAATCACTTAAGATTTAGAACTTGAATGATATCGACTATGAAAGAAGAGAATAGATTTGAAGGAAAGGTTGGAAAGAAGAATAAGTTCATCTTACAAAAGGAAGAGTTAGCACATATTATTGAATGTTGACAAGATGGGAAGTAAGATTTAAGGACACAGTTTGATATCCTAATGTAATAACATGATTACTAAATATTGAAGGAAGTGAAGCAGAATGAATTAATATTTCATACCAACTAGTAGAAAATATTATCAATGATTGATAAATCAAAAGGAGAAATATTTTAAAGACTTATAAAAGTAATTATTGGAAGAGACAAACATTGATAGAGTTAAATGAGGATTCCTTTTACGAGGCTTGGGGATATGAAGTGATAGGGTCTAACTTGTTTTCCAGAATAAACTCTTCTGTAGGATTTGTTTACTTTTACATGTTATAAGTTGATGTAAACAAAAAGTTGTAAAAAAGAATGCTAATAAAATTAAAGTTGAAATATACTCCTATGAAATAGGAAAATAACTTTGTGTATATCTAAATGAATATCAAAAGGGGATACGTGAACAGTTAATTACAGAAATAGTTCAGTGAAGTCTTAAACGTACTAGAGAAAGCAATGCTTAAAACATGATGCTATAATAAATACAAGAAATACATACTTGGAAAGCTCTACCTTATAGCTACCATAAAACTTCAATACTAAAATTTCTAACCTTTAACTTAATTCTAAAATCAGCTTTAAAAAAATGAAGAAATTGGAGATACTTAAAACTTACAGTTCTTACATAGGATGATGTAATAGATATTTGGCAATAGAAAGTTAGTTATTCCTCAAGAAAAAGTAAAAAGATGGAAATTATTTGTGTTTCAGAGTCTGGAGTATAAAAAGAAGTCTAATTTTTGATCTATATGAACTGGGACTCCTCTAAAAATTGATTTCTGTTAAAATCATTTATTGAGCACCTAATACAAGTATTATAAGAAAAGTGTTATTTAATTCTCAGAGTAACTTTATGAACTTGAAATTATTTTCCACAACATCTACTTCTTCAGTATCTCATGCTTGGTTATTTTGAGGATTAAATGAGAAAATTATCAGAAATGCCCATTTCTCCTCTTCTGTTTCTTTCCCAGGAACCTGGAGAAAATGCAGAGATTAAAAAAAAGAAAATACACTGTTTGTTGCCTCTTTCTTTGTTTCTAAAGAGCTACCAGAATGAAAAGGATAGGAATAGAGAAAAACTTTTTTCCAGGATTTAGATCTACTGGAACTGTCCGGACCCCCTGCAGGCCTCTAGCCACAAGATTGCAAGATTGCACCACCTATCATAAAACTCTATAGCTGTGTTTTTCTACCAAGTTCACATTTTCAGCACTAATAATGCCTTCAGCACAAGTCATTTCCAGAGAATTAAGTTCTTGTAGTCACTGAGTTAAGTCTCCACAAAATAACCTGCAGATGACCTCACTGCATTGACTCCCAAGTGTAGAATTTCAGATCAATAGCTATAGTACTTGGATTCTGACATATAAAACAAAATTTAGTGATTTTTGTTACTCCAATGAGTCTTATCAGACTGGGGATCACCATGGCAATTGCAGGTTCTTATGATAGTTAATACTTGTTTTGGTCCAAAAAACTATTTTAAAAAGTAAATTCCTTCTGTTCACTCTTCTTGGAATATGCAATGATAACTTTCAAACATATAAGGAGAATTAAAAGTAATTCAAATATTACAAGTGGTCATTAATTGCTTGTACCAGAAATAACATTTCCTCCTCAGATACAAAGCATTCCAATAGGGGTAAAATTCCTTTGGGTCTATTTTCTTTTTGACTTTGCCACAAAAATGTAACACATCTCCAACTAGGTGCTAAATAAAAATGTTAAACCTTCATAAACTGGACTTAGAGGTAGTGAAAGAAAAGTATGACATTGACAGACAGGGTGTTTTGCTCATGACTAACAAAATAATAAAAAATACTTTAAGTATTTATACCAGTAAAGAATTAACTTGATACAAAGAACTGACTATTTAGATCGATGGGCAAGGTTGAAGGATAAACTAATCCACTGTCTGGACTTGTCTCTGTTCTCTACCTTTTATCTCCTTCAAAAGCTGTAGAGCACCCGTGAAATACACCTGGGTGATGCCAACCCTCTTATGGTATAGAACATGGAAGGGCAAGAAGGCCCAGACCCAGCCAGCATGCCTATGTTTGAGGGATTGTTTCTGTATTCTTTCTTTTGGTGGTATTGAGGTTTGAACTCAGGGCTTTGGCACTTGTAAGGCTTTACCACTTGAGCCATGCCTCTAGCCCTTTATGTTCTGGGTCTTGCTTTTTGCCCAGGAGATGACAACCATGGTTGCCTTGGTGTGTACAACCATGCCCAGTTGTTGGTTTTTTTTTCAATTGAGATGGGATCTTACAAATTATTTTGCTGGAGCTGACCTGGAACTGTGATCTCATGATCTCAGTCTCCTGAGTAGCTTGGGAAGACAGGTAAATACCACTATGCCCAGCTATTGGTTGAGATGAGGGCTTTTTGCTGACCTCAAACTGGAATCCTTCCAATCTGAGCCTCCCAAGTAGTAAGGATCACAAATGTGAGACACCAGCATCTGGCTTCTGCTTCTGTATTTCTTAATCCAAGGGAATAGCTTGCTAATATATTTGGAATCAGGTAAATTAAAGAAACTTAAATGATGGATAGCCTATAATGTAGCTCCTAAATCAGCATGTAAAATGAGTATGTTTCCAGTAAGATAATCTTCAATGAAGGTATGGATTTCATGGTGTAACATTTGTATCACTAAATGCACACAAGCAGAGATAGGTGTCTGAATGTAAGATCCTACAATCTCCTAACAGAACACTGTTCTACTATGGTGAGTGATCTGCAGTGCCTGTGTGTGCCAAGACAGAACATCAGAGGAAGCTGATTCAAACCATGCTTATTTATTTTTCTTTATTCCTCCTTTTTAATAAAGTTAAGAGAACTTGGGAACTATAAAACATTGCTCTCCTTGAGAAGTGGAATGTGCTTATGAAATGAAAAGTCAAGTTCATGAAAAGGGATAAGAACTCCAGCCTCACCTCAAACCCACAATGAGAATTCTGTTACTACATTAAACAACAACAGAGACAGCAACAACAAAATCTGAAATTGTGAGCAGGCCACAGGAGAAAGACTGTGGGAGAAAACCCTCTTTATCCCTTTTGATTTCATTTTGCCAAAGCTTTAAATGAGTGTGAAGACTTTTGAGAAAGAAAAAAGAGAATAAAATATTGAGGGGCGATTCCTCAACACAGACCCTCCAAATCTCCACTTCCACTAATGGGAACCATGCACACACAGCCACACAAGATCAGACCTCCTATGCGGAACATTTTTTTCTTGAAGATTTTTCTTATTGGGACTTTAATTAAGCTCCTGCCAGGCTTGCAATCTTTTTAATTTTACCTTTCTTTCTTCTTTCCTTCTCTTTCCTCCTTAGATCAGCTTGCTTGCCAGGAAATTTTTTCTAAGCTGTCACAGTTATAGTAAATGTGATATTACTATATTACTAAGATATTAAATTTAGAGATGTCCTAGTAGCCTGCTTTTCCAAGGATCCACAGAAGAAGTTTTCTGGCATATGGAAAAGACTTTCACTAATTCATTCATTCCTTCACACATTCATTTTTTAAACTCACTGTGTGTATATTTTATATGTGAAAAAATGGAAAAGGAAGCTTTATGGAATGTACAGTAACTATTGCTTAGTAAGTGATACAACTTACACTCCCTTAATAAAGTTACCCTTTAGAACAAACTTGCCATCACTTCATCTGATAGTCCACGTCCCTCAGAAGCAAGCTGTAGCTATGTGGTAGCATTGGTGAGTAAAGAATGAGCAAGCCAAGAGAACGTGATGCCTCAGTTGATGATTTAGCACATATATAATGACACATAATATTTAATTTGCTTACATTCCTTTTAAAGCCACTTTGTCTTCCAACTCATTGCAGTTCTGAAAGTATGAAGGCAGGTACTAGGGAGTACGAAAGGTGACCCTTTTAAGGCAGATTCCATGAGAAGCTACTTTCTCTTGAGGAAGCTTACTTAAATTTGGTAATCATAAATAGGATTCTACCTTTTTGCCAAATAATTTCTTTAAAACTCAGCTAATATTGCAGGGCCAGAAATAAAACAAGCCATCAAACCCACAAAACCCAAAATGGTAGACACAGAGCATTGGGAACATTATTCTCTGTGGTTATTATTATCACCATTCTTATTATTTCTTAATAATTCCACAGTGTCAGGCTACTGCATCAACTGCTTCTTTCTGTGGGGTACTTACTGATCGCCTCCACAAACCGCTCAAAGAAGCTGTAAGGGAAGAGCGGCTCAGGCAGCTCTCGGAAAAACATCTTCAGTGCTCCAGTGACAACGTGGATGTCCTCCCACTGGCTGTCGTCCAAATTCAGCTTCTCTTCTGGGAAAACACGAGGAGAAATGGAACAACTGGTTTTAATGAAACAATTACAAGACACTAATTATTATGTTAATGTTTGCCTACTATCATCAGCAACCGTTAACAGCCTTCTGTACCTAGAGGTTTGGTGCTGTGCATGTTTTTTTTTTTTTTCCCCCTTCTTCCGTAAGAAGGGAACATTTTCAATGGAATACCATCTGTAGGAATGCAGCTAACAAAAAACAAGAGACACAAAGACAGTGCCATTGACACAGTATGTCAGATACATTTATTCCCATAATGCATCAGTATGAAAATTAGCATCACAGCTCAACATGATTCAAAGCTATTTGGTTTTGAGGCCGAGGGGCTAAGAGTTGCCAATGATGGCCGGCTCAAGGGACCGGCCTAAAGGCCTTGCTGAGCCAACAGGAGACATATGCTAAACATGGCAATAGAAAATGAGTTATTGCTTTACATGTGTTAGCCTTGCTATGTACAAGGGAATAATGGGTAACACACCCCCTCTTTTTTTGCCAGAATATAAAGTCACCAAGGAATAGAATATTGAGCAAGAAAGGATATTAATTCCTTCTTACTGCTTCGAAATAACTTTTTTTTCAGTTTTCATCTTGGTAAGGAAAATGTGCCCAGAAACAATATTAGACAGACCCCTGTTGGCCTACATAGGCTATGCAAAGCCATCGAAAATGATCACACATTAAAGACAAACCACAAGGCTTACCAACTCTCTAGAAAGAACAGGAATGTTAGCTTGGGAAGCCTGAGTGAGTTGAGACATTGAAATACTAAAGAAAGTAGATGCCAAAAAGAAGTTCTTAGTAGAAATAAAGGATGCTGGGCAGTTATATCCTCTGCCTTTTCACCCTCAATATGAAAGTCTGGAATCACTCTCTCACACAAGAAATGGATGCATTAGTGTCTGAAAATGACATCTTTACATAGAATTACAGGAAGCAAGACACAAAGGCATTGCTGCTAATCCATAGGATTTGTCTTCTAAATGTGCAACATGGAAAAGATTTTGGATTCTGGGCTTTAAGTAAATGAAAGCTAATCATTTTAGACAACCTGGGGGTTAACTAAAAAGCTAAGAATCCTGGCAAGAACTTAACAGGTATTTGGTCAAGTGGAATTTTGTGTCTTTACTGATGTTTTGGGCTTAGAGACACATGCAAGCTCAGTGTTTGTTTATGAATGCTGAGGAGCATTTTGCACCAAAAATGTAAGAAAAGCTGAGAACTGTCACTGTAGTGTTTCTCTGCATGAGCTGATAGTTTTGATATCCCTTTAAAAATATTAGACCAGATCACTATCAGATCTTTTTTTTTCTAATGGACTATTTCTAGGGCTAGTAAATGATGTTCCTGCTCAATAGTATGTTTACAAAAAAGGGAGGAATGAGGTGAATCTGTTTATTTCAGATGGGCTATTTTCTTCTTTCCTTTCAATCTTCATTCCTTCCTCAATCATAACACAATAATATTATCCACAACAAAAATCAGCAGAGGAGACCTTTTTTCTGCACTGCAATCATTTTTGATTGATTGTATTTCAACAATTAGCCTTTTATTTGGCTACACACTATTGAAATAGGCCAATAGCATCTTAGCAGGCCAGCTTTAAACAGTCAACTGTTAACAATAGCATCAAAAAGGGAGACCTGATGGGGTTTACTGTCACTTTAAAGAACAGGGTTTTCACATTGTTGAAATCTGTCAGATATTTTGAAATGTCCCTCTCACTATGGTGCCACACCCCCTGCATGCCCTTATAATAAAATTGGTTTTACTCCTGATTAAATCATTTTCTCCCTACCCACTACCATACTTCTCATAATGGACCTGTGTGCTCTACAGCTGGTGTTCTTCCCATGGTACCAATTCTTACTTTATCTTTTAAGCACTTTGCTGCTAAGATCTCATGCAGAGTGCTTATGTTTTGTTAAGAGCTTCATTCTTAGAGAAATAGCTTAACACATGTTCTAAAAATGTTGTACAACTTATTGCTTAAAACACATTTAGGAAATGTATAAGTACTGTAGCTTTGGCAGTGAACTTTAAGCAGAAACCTAAACACCACACACACACACACAATCATACACACATAACTATTGCTACCAAAAATTTATCAGAAAAGTCCAACACAAAGTACCATTTGGATGAATAGGTTGGAGACTGCTAGAGGAAAATGTTCATGTAGGAGGGAAAAAAGAATGATTTTATCTTGAGCAAGAAACCAACAACAGCAGCAACAAATAATTGCTTAGCCAAAGAAAACGTCATTAATATTAGTGCTCTCCTCATAGTGAATGTGAAAATGGAATATTTCAATGCATATACAACAAAGTTTACTAGTGAATGCCACTTGCTATGTCCACTTAAAGTGCTATAATATCAATGTCAATTTGTGTCACTGAAACCAACATTTCTGCCATAGATACCTATGTAATCTTCATTTAAAGAAAAAAATAATACTTTGTAGCTTCCAACAGGTATCTTAAACACAGAATATGGAATGAGTCTTTTGGAATATGATAGCTAGTTTTATAACAAGTTTTTCATGTTCAGTATCCCTTATAGCTCAAAGGGTATTTAGGCATATTTTCCAAGGCCACTGTGGTTCATCTAAACTTACAGTTATGTCAAATAATATTCTCATGAAACCAACCATTCTTCCAGAAGATCTAAGCACAACCCTATCCCAGTGGTAGCAGGCATCACTACAAATACATTTGCATTTTGTTTTGGTGATCTGTGCTTTGAACGCAAGGCCTCATACTTGCTAGACAGGCACTCTATCACTTGAGCCATGCCTCCAGCCCTTTTATTCTTTAGTATTTTTTTGGATAGAGTCTCATGTTTTTTGCCTGGGTACAGCTCAGACCACTCCTGCATAGCTGGCCTCATAGGCACACTCCACCACATGAAGTTTATTGAGATGGAGTCTCACTAACTTTTTGCCCAGACTAACCTCAAACTGTGATCTTCCTGCTCTTCACTTCTTGAGTAGTTGGGATTGTAAGTGTTTGCCACCACACCTGGCCAATAAGCATTTTCTCACAAGACTGTTAGTAGTGATGATATCTTATACTTTTCCCTTTTCCAAAAAAGCAGGGTTTCTCAACAGTGATACACTATTGACATTTGAGGATGGATAGTTGTTTGTTAATGGGATGTTTTAACAGCACCCTGACCTCAATTCATTAGATGCCAATAGCACTTGCCAATGGTGATGATGAAAAATGTCTCTAGGTATTTCCAAATATCTTTTGGTGCTGCAAAATTATTCCTGTTTGATAACTACTATAATAGCACTTTTAAGTGCATATAGAAGTTACTCTGTAAATACTGGTTCATGATTACATAATATTTCAGAAAATGGAAAAATAAGACCCGTTAAGACCAATCCAGTAGTGAGGGTGAGGGAATAAAGGAAAATTATGGAGGAGTGAATTCAACTATGATACATTGTAAGAACTTTTACACACAATGAACTCCCAGTAAAAGAATAATAGTATAATAAAAAACTTATTGAGCAAAAAAAAAAAATACTGGTTTATGAAGTTTACCTTAGGTGGGCAAGGATCCAGAAAATTAGATAAACACAAACTGATATATCTTTAATTTGAGCTTAATAGTTAGTCATTATTAATTATTGATGAAATCAAAACCTTTTGCATAACAAAGTTCATATGACCATATTTAGAGTAATTAGTGTTTTACTCACAGACAATTATGTGGTGTGTAAACATACTGGGGACTATGCTATGTGTTTTGTATTTATTATCTAATTTAATTGATTCAGGAAGATAGCGAGATATGTGTGATTGTTATCATAACATCCATTTCACAGATAGGGAAAATCAGGTGTGGGCAGATTAAGTAACTTTCCTATGACTGACAAATGATGAAACCAGAATATGGAGCCAGTTGTCTCTACTATGTTTGAAACAACTCTATTCAGACATCATCTTGGCTGGCAGAAGAAGAAGGGAAAAAGGCAAATAAGCAATAATTGCAAGTGGTAGTAGATTGATTTTTACTTCAAAGAGGGGGATTTTTACATTTTATTCCTAAATGTTTTATCCTAGATTGTGTACTTACCTGTAAACTGATTCCAATCTTCAGTAATTACTCATTTATACAAGGTTTAGATTCTTATATGAATGGCTATAAAACAAATTGGTAAGAAAAAGAAGCTGCATCAGGTAGGGGGCAGAGGAGGAGCAAATTGTTATGTGGTGATGAGGTGCAGAGGAAATATGATAGAATGAAAAACAGATTATAGAAAACATTCCTTCCACACCTGAATTTACCATTTAATCATTGTAAATCTATTAATTTATTTGTGAAATGAAGATAGTTAGAAGGATAGCTGTTGGTTTCAAATGGGTAAACATATCTGAAAACATTTAGAAAGCATAAAGAAATAAACATACCCAAGATAGCACTACAGTGGGGAAAGTGACAAAGGTGTTGGAAACAGAGAGCAAATGTTGTAAACCATTCTAGTTGTTTTAGAGAACTTATCTCGGTGTGATGCAATTTGTTACATTGGATCAACAGAAATGTTACACACTAGAGTTTAATACCGGGAAAAAGTCTGGTTGAATCAAGATATCTCATTATCTTTAGATTCATAAGCTGTCCTGGATTCTCTTAGCCTTCTAATTAAGCTATCTTAATTTCACTTTGGTCATGACTTTTGGCTTAAAAGCACGTAAGCAGAATTGAAGATAGGTTAAGCTCCAGAATCCAAATGCTATGTGACTTTTATGAGGTCACACCCACTCACACAGATATCTAAATGTTTTATCCATACAAGGCTGGTTTGAAATGCCCTTACTAGAAGGGTCCTTAGTGAATTTTATTTTTTTAGGTGAAAACTTATCTATATAAGCAAAAATTATATTTGATAGAAAAAAATGACTATTTCTCCTAAGAAAATTTAGGAACAATTTTTTATTTGCAAAGTAGAGTTGAAAGATGGATCTTTGA